AGCAGGAATAACTTTTTCCCTCTTCCTTTCCACTCACTAAAACGAAGCCCAATACAATTTCCCCAGCCTTTTGTCTCTCAGCACTCTGGTACACGGTAGCATTTTAGGAATGTTCTCCTTTCACAGAAGGTCCTACCTTATTTTGGGGTAGGACAAAAAATATTTCAACTTGAAAATATTAAATGCCAGGAAGGAAAAAAAAATATGCAAGATTAGCATATTCACAGCAAATTTTATTCCACGGGGTACTGAAAAACTCAATTTGCTAAACAGAAAAACTGAGTAGTAGCCAGCTGAAAACAGGTATTACGTGCAGTGCAGATCAATGTCCTTGATTTCAAGCAGCTAGTAGGGTGGGCAAGCCAGTCATCCATACAGTGTAAAGTGGGAGTAAATCCATTTAAGTCAATGGGTTTCATCATTGCCAACTCATCTTAAAAGACAAGCTTTCTGGTACAGGTTTCTGCTTCCATTGACATCAAAAGTACATCTCCCAAATGCCCAACAACAAAAATATTTTTGTTTAAATTGCCACATTGTCCTCAGATGCTGCTGCTGCTTTCACTTATAAAGAAAGCTGCAGGAAGGTTGTTAAAAACAAACATAACAACACAAAACTTGAAATTAGATTGTTGAATTATTATAATAATAGTTTATAATTCCAAGTACATGTCACTAAACGTACTTCAGCTTCTTCTAAGCATTCCTCAGAGGACTTCTGAGTCACGTGTCAAACTACTTTTCTATGTGAGACTTAGAAACTCTGCCCTTCCTAAAGCAACAGTTCTTTCCCTTTAAGTTGCTGAGTATTCCCCCTGAGCATCAAGAGTTAATCAACTATGCAAATTAACTCCAAACATATGGCTAAAATTTAGAAATAATCTTGCCTGTTGGGTGTGTAAGAGGGAGGAGGGAGGTGTTTGAAGCAGGACATGGAAAATGTTTCAATTGCAATCCAAATAAATAAAGATAATACATAAAGATACATATGCTGTCCAGAAAGCAACCTGTGCATTATGCTTTCGAACTTCTACGCTGCTGTTTTGAGGTGAGTTAAAATATCTTACATTCCAACTGCCTTAGAAAGGCTGAATAAAATTTTACTCATGCACTAAAAGATTGGATTGTCACAAAGTGATGGATGGCTTTTCTATGTTCTCTGTAAGGCATTTCAATACCATAGACTCCAAGTGCTCTTGATTAAAAGGCGACATTCTCATTTAGGGTCCTGTCACTGCCTGAGCTTCAAACCATTATCATTCACCTGCACTGGTGCTTCCAGTGACAAAATACTTACCAAAATGTATAAAATACTAATTACTTTAGTCACTTTGATAGAGGTATAAAACACCCTAAAGCAAAGCTCTATTATGCTGTGTGAGGGTTTGAATTCAAAATTAAAAATGCAGCCAAAGGGAGAATAAGATTTTAATTACATTCCCCACCTCTCAAACATGTCTTGAAAACCTAGGGGAAAAAGACCTAGCAATTTCATGACACAAGAACTCCCTTCTTACTGGTACTGCCCACTTAAGGAAAAAAAAAAAATCCAGAAAAACTCAAGTTTACTTTGTTCTCTTCAAAATTATTAAACTTTCAAACACAGAAAGAGACTAACAAGCTTCAATAAAAAGCTTTGATTTCCTCTCAAGAGATTTCAGATGCCAAACATGTTTTTTCACTTAAAAACTTTCAAGCACTATGATAGACAAAGTTTTATAACTTACAGGTATTTCAAGGGAAAAAAATACTATTTTCTATGGGGAAAGCCTCAAATAAAATGTAATTGGGACGCAACTGTGAATAGCTTCACACTATCCCAGAAAAGCTTGGTTTAATTTGCATCTGCCACAAAGCTCCCTTCGGCTTAAATAATTGCAAAGGATCTCTCACCTTTAGATTTCATTTGGTGGATTGGGACTATTCCTTGTATATAACGTTTGACAGTTTTCTTTATTAAAATTGTAACTTGGACAAACTCATGAGCTGAATGGCATGCTGAAGCAGCTCTGGAACTAAAAATTTCAGTATATATGGAATGAAAAAGCACTTTCACCAAGGGTAATACTGAGCCCAGCTAACAGAATATTTTGATTCCCCAAGAGAAAAAAAGTCTTCTAAATTGATGGGCCTTAGGACTGAAAATGGATGGAAGCATACTAGCAAAAAATACTAGAGTAAATCACAAATGAATTTTTATAAAAACTGCCAGTACATTCCTTTATCAGAAAAACCCAGTTCAGTCAAGGACTATGGCTAAACTGCTTCTTGAAGTTTAAAATACATCATTTTATGTAGAACAGTTAAGGTCAAAGTATTTCAGGAGAAAAGACTGGAGGATTACAATATGCTCATGTGCTGTTAACACTGTAATGCTGCTCAGGGAGCATATCAAAATCCCTCTGTCGAATAACAAGCTTCAGCCAAGGTAGGAGAAGGATCCAAGTCCATTCATCTGCGTGTGACTGAACCAGGGACAAGGAAAGCAAAAAGATATCGGCTCCTATGGCTGATGGCAAAGCAATTCCATTCTGCAAAAAATAGTTTCCTGATTCTAGTTTATTCTGTAAAACATTATCCATTTGGACAGAAAACAACATTTGAGTAACAAAACAAAACCAAAACAACATTTCTTCAGGGAAAGGCAATTAATTAGTTTCAAGTAAAGATAGGGTGTATCTGTCTTCCAGAGCCCCTATTCTATCTATTTTTCTTAGGAAAAATAGACCTGAATTAGAATAGTCAAATTTTACATTCAGACGTTATAGACTAACTGGTAAACTGATACAGAAAACACAACTTTACTTTTGCATTTTCCCTATTTTTTTGCACATTTTAGCACTTTCTTCTGTCTGTCTTAATTGCCACTTTAAATAGATAGAAACTCTATTTCTATTACGTTTCTGCTAACTACACCTACTGCTGACATGATGCATTAGTAAATACTAGCAGTCGTACTGCAAAGCCTTAGCACTACAGCCTAAAGTTACTCAGGAGGTTTTTCCATTTGTGTACAGGTACTTAAGACTGTCATACCCAAACGCAACGTCAGAAAGACAAACGTTAGGTACAGTGACATATGGAACATTCCACTTCTAAAACAACTGAGAATAAAAATATTCTTTCTACAAACCTTCAAAAAGTTATCATCAAAGGCATAATGTATCAGAGAGCAGTAATTGTATCAGATGCTCCAAAGGTCTTTAAAAGAGGACAAGAAAAGAAACTATACCTTAGTTTTTAAAAATCTTCAGACTACAAATGTCTTTATTGTTTGTCTCACATTATGGGACAAAAAAAAATATGGCTGTATGTGCCCTGAATACTACATCCACTTTGCTTCATCTAGCAAATGCAACACCAACCATTCCTG